ATGGCCACTTATTTCTACCTTTGTAATATTACCCAATCATTCCCCTGCCTCAGCTCATCTGCTGCTGAAATCTTCATTCATGCCTCTATTTCCTCTAGGCTTGACTATTCCAATGTGCTCCTGGCTAACCTCCCAAGTTCAACTCTCTGTAAACTTGAAGTCCGTGCATCTGTATTAACTTGCTTTATTAACTCTTGTTCCTGTGCTTGCTAAGTGGCATTCCTTCTTTAGTATTTCCAGTTTTACTCACTATGGCATTGATAGTTGTGTCTTCACTGTCACTGGGTCAAAATCCTGGAAATCCATCACAAACTGCATTGTGGGTGTACCTGTGCCAAATGGACTCCAACAGTTCAAAACAGCAGCTACTCAAAGGCAATTAAGGATGGGCAATAAAAGTCAACATTTCCAGAACGATAAAACAAAAGCAGCCTAAGATCCTGAGCTAGAAGAACCCCTGAAACCTCTGGAATTTCCTCCATAAATCTTTCCCTCGCTCCTATTTTAAGACACTCTTTAAAGCTAAGACTCTCTTTAAAGACTACCTCTTTCTGCAAACATTTTGTCCTCTTCCATTTTGTGGCTTGGAGTCCAATTTTGTTTTATAATTATCCTGTGACGTGCCTTGGTTTTTTAAATTGGTTAAAAGTGCTATAAAAATGAAAGTTGTCACTGTTACTATCATTATCTTCTTTCCATGAATTTATGTGCACTGAGCTTCTCTTGAGTTACTGTGACAGAGTTGGAGGTGAGTCATCCTCTAATTTCCAATTAGTTACTGATTGGATCTACTGATATGCATAAATAAAAATCAAAAAGCATTTTCTACATGGTGACAAGTTAGTGTTAAACACCATAACTAGGCAGAAAATCACCCATAAGTGACTGATTTCTTTATTGACGCAAATGTTCTGATCAGCTTTAGAATCATTGTTCCAAATGCTGATCAATCAGAAAACTGCACAATCACCTGGATATGTTTAAAAATATCAAGAATTGATGAAGCAACCAACAGATCTCCCTCAGCACAGAAATCCATGCAGAAAGCGCCAAAGATTATTCACACAAAAATAACACCGTCTTTTTCATGGTACAGAATGCCGGTAAATAAGTTTAAATGTCATGAATGGGTGATGGGTGAATACTATTCAATGAGCGGGTAGAGGATTTATGGCCATTCAGAGAGGCAAAAATTGATTAGGGATAGTCAGCATGGTTTTGTATGAGGAAAATCGTGTCTCACAAACGTGATTGAGTTTTTTGAGAAAGTTACCTAAAAGGTTGATGATGGCAGAGCAGTAGACGTTGTTTATTTGGATTTTAGTAAAGCCTTTGACAAGATTCTGCATGGTAGGCTATTTAGTAAAGTTAGGTCACATGGGATTCAGGGTGAGCTTGCCAATTGGATACATAATTAGCTTAACAGCAGGAGACAAAGAATGGTGGTGGAGGGTAGCTTTTCGGACTGGAGGCCTGTGACCAGCGGTGTTCTGCAGGGATCGGTTCTGGGTCTTCTTTGTCATTATATAAATGATTTAGATGAGAACATAGAAGGTATTGTTAGTACGTTTGTGGATGACACCAAAATTGGTGGCATAGTAGACACTGATGAAGGTTTTCTAAGATTACAAAGAGATCTTGATCAAATGGGTCAATGGGCTGAAAAATGGCAGATAGAGTTCAATCTGATTAAAAGAAGAATAAAAACCAAAAGAACTGCGGATGCTGTAAATCAGGAACAAAAACAAATTTGCTGGAAAAGCTCAGCAGGTCTGGCAGCATCTGTGAAGGAGAAAACAGAGTTAACGTTTTGGGTCCGGTGACCCTTCCTCAGAACTGATGGTGGCTGGGAAAATGTCAGTTTATATGCAGAAAATAGGGAGGTGGGTGGGTTAGGCAGTAAACGATAGGATAGAGTCCAAAGAGAGAGAAAGACAGTTGGACAGACAAAGGAGTTGCTAACGATCAGGCTGGGATGGTGAATAGTTGTTAATGGGGACTGTTAGTGACTAACAACAGGGGGTGTGTATTGGCAGGCTATGTGGTAACAAGGCCTGGTGTGTGGGGTGGGGGGCTGGGACATGGGAGAGTTTAGGCCCTAAAATTATTGAACTCAATATTGAGTCCGGAGGGCTGTTGGATCCCCAAGCGGAAAATGAGGTGTTGTTCCTCCAGCTTGCGTTGGGCTTCACTGGAACACTGTAGCAAGCTGGAGACAGAGATGTTGGCCAGGGAGCAGGGTGGTGCATTGAAGTGACAGGCAACAGGTAGTTCAGGGTCTTTTTTGCGAGCAGAACGTAGATGTTCTGCGAAGCAGTCGCCAAGTCTACGCTTCGTTTCCCCAATGTAGAGGAGACCACATTGTGAGCAGCGAATGCAGTAGACTAGATTCTTGGAAGTGCAGGTGAAGTGTTGCTTCACCTGGAAGGTATGTTTGGGCCTTTGGATACTGGGGAGGGAGGAGGTAAATGCACCTTCGCCGGTTAAAGGGGAAGGTGCCGTAGGGCTGTGGGGAGGTGTTGGGGGTGAAGGAAGTATGGACCAGGGTGTCCCGGAGGGAACTGTCCCTGCGGAAGGCAGACAAGGGAGGGGAGGGGAATATGTGTCTGGTGGTGGCATCTTGCTGGAGGTGGCAGAAATGGCATCTGATGACCTTCTGGATGTGGATGCTGGTGGGATGGTAGGTGAGGATAAGGGGAACCCTATCGCTATTGTGGGAGGGAAGAGAAGGGGTGAGGGCAGAAGTGCGGGAGATGGGTCGGACCCGATTGAGGGCCCTGTCGACAATGGAACTAGGGAATCCTCGGTTGAGGAAGAAGGTGGACATTTCGGAGGCTCCCTTGTCGAAGTTAGCCTCATCTGAACATATGCGACGGAGACGGAGGAACTGAGAGAATGGGATGAACTCTTTACAGGAAGTGGGGTGTGAGGATGTATAGTCCAGGTAGCTGTGGGAGTCGGTGGGTTTGTAATGGATATTAACGGCCAGTCTATCCCCAGAAATGGAAACAGAAATGTCGAGGAAGGGAAGGGAGGAGTCAGAGATAGACCAGGTGAAAGTGAGGACAGGGTGGAAATTGGAGGCGAAATTGATGAAGTTTTCCAATTCTCGACGAGAGAGGGAAGCAGCACCAATGATATCATCAATGTATCGGAGAAAGAGTTGTGGGCGGGGGCCGGAATAGGACTGGAACAAGGAATGTTCCACGTACCCCACGAAGAGACAGGCATAACTAGGGCCCATGCGGGTGCCCATGGCAGAAGAAAATGAGAGGAGTTGAAAGAGAAGTTGTTGAGGGTGAGGACAAGCTCAGCCAAGCGAGGAGGGTGGTGGTGGGTGGGGATGGTTCAGGTCTTTGCTCCAGGAAGAAGCAGAAAGCCCTAAGACCCTCCTGGTGGGGAATGGATGTGTAAAGGGATTGCACATCCATGGTAAAGAGGAGGTGGCTGAAGCCGGTAAACTGGAAGCTTTGAAACCAGCGTAAGGCGTCAGATGAATCATGGATGTATGTGGGTAGGGATTGGACCTGATTAAAAGCAAGGTATTTTGGTAAAACAAACATTGGTAAGGCTTAAACAATTAATGGTAGGGCCTTGGGTAGTGTTAGAGAACAGACAGACCTAGTGGTGCAGGTACATAATTCTTTGAGGTTTGCATCACATACAGACAGGGTGGTTAAAAAGGCATTTGGCATGCTTACCTTCATTGCTCAGTCCTTTGAGTATGGGAGTTGCGAAGTCATTTTGAGGCTATACAGGACATTGGTGAGGCCTCTTCTGGAATTCTGTGTCCAGTTCTGTTTGCCTGGTTATAGGAAGGCTATTATTAAGCTGGGGAGGGTTCAGAAGAGATTTACCAGGATGTTGCCATATACAGAAGGCTTGAGTTATAAAGGCTGGACAGGCTGGGGCTTTTTTCACTAGAGCGTAGGAGGTTGAGAGGCGACATATAGAAGTTTATAAAATAATGAGAGGTGTAGATAGAGTTAATGGTAGAGGTCTTTTCCCTAGAATGGGTGATTTCAAGATTAGGGGGCACATTTTTAAGGTGAGAGGAGAGAGCTTTAAAAAAGACATGAGGAGCAATTTTTTTATACAGAGGGTGGTTTGCATGTGGAATGAACTTTCTGAGGAAGTGGTGGATATAGATACAATTA